TATTTTATTAGCTTTCTCTGAATAATTATATCTTATTTTCTAGCTTTAAACATGATCTAGATACTATTTGCCATATATTGTTTTATGTTGGTTAAAATTGCATAGTTATATATTTAACTTGATGATATTTAACTACAGGTAAACATAGTTTGTTTCATAATTAGAAAATTCACAATTTTCCCAATTTTTACTACGTTCTAAGAAAGAAAACAATTCTAAACTAATAAGAGCAATCAAAATTGATAAGAAGTTTGCCTTGTATAGTCTTCTGTTTTATTTAAAAAAATGCTTTTCCAAAAAATAAATGTTTACTAAGATAAGTACCGTTGTCTTTGTCCCTTAATTAAATCTGTACAACATGCTCTTAACCAGTCCCTAATTAACTGTATAGGGGAGGCTAACTGGTCCATGATAAATGGCCACATCATGGTTGCAACTTTGGGCTTCATAGTCAAACAGAGGCACACATAGGTATAACCTCTGGCTCTGCAGCTTTAGTGCCAGGAGGTTTACTTAACCTCTCACAGCTTCACAGGCTAGTGTGTAAATCGGGGGTGAAGACAGTTTCTACTTCATAGAGTTGTTGTAAGAATTAGGCGAGATAATTCAGGTAATTGCTAAAACAGTGACTGATACGTTGAAAGCCAAAAATATTTGAGTACAAAATAGAAAGCATGACCCTCCCATAGCCAATTCTTACCCAGCAGCTTAGACATTCCTTTTAAAATATGTCAAATCATGTCAACTTTATGCTCAATGTTCTGCAATAGCTTCCTTTCTCAGAATAAAATCTAAAGTCTGAATATGGACCTCCTAAAAGATTCCCATGGTCCAGTCCCTGCTCAACTCTTGCATTCTTCCCTAATTATCTCCCTCCTTGCTCCTGAAACAAACCAAGTGAGCTCCTGATTTGGGCCATTGCATTGGTCTTTTACCCCAAACCTTGAATATTTCTACCAGTGCCCCCAACGGCCTCTCCCCATGAACCCAATCTTCTTGGCTTGCTTCTTCCTCTTATCTTGTCTCTGTTCAAATTTCACTTTACCAGAGTCCTTTACCCACCTTATGCACATCTGTCCCCACTACCATGGTCTCTATCTACTTACCTTGTTTTATTTATTTATTCTTTTAATAGCACTTAAAAATCTTTGACATGCTATTTATTTACTTATCTGTTTATTGTTTGCCTCCCTCTAATAGAGGGAAGAGACTTTTCTTCTACTTTTTCACACTGCTTTTGGACTGTGTATTGCATATGGGTGTTTCAATAAATATTTTTTGGATTAATTAATAAACCTTGTTGGCATTAAGGTTTTAGAAATCCTAATGAACTACACAGGCTCGAAAACAGAATTTGGCAGATGCCTTCAGGTAAAATATTAGTTTATTTATATTTGTAGAACTTCCATGAAAAAGTACACTTCTAATAGTTTTATATTAAATATTGTATAGTGAGAATATTAAACATTCCATAATATTAATATTATTGAAAAAAATTAATATAAAATAATCTATAGAATTAATATAGCCTATATTAAATAGCATAATATTAATATTAAAAATTCTGTGAATATTGATATTCATGCAAAATGTGAAAATTTATAATCATTAAAAATTTAATTTATAAAAATGTTGTTGAGTAATAGAAGAATAAAACTGTCACTATTTCATGATAAAATTAACATAACATAGCATTGATGGTAATAGAAGCACTTTTAAAAATATAATGTGTGTGTGTATATATATAAATTCATGAAGTAAATTATATATTTTACATATATATATATCTCCATGAAGCAAATTATATATTTTAATCAAAAACAAGAAAAAATAATTCCCTAGATTCATTCTCATTATAAAAGTACTTCTGTTTGCTTCTCTGTCCTTTAATGAGATAAATTATAGCATTTGGTATTTTTGTACATTACACATTATCAGAGCTTAGGAAGGATGACTCCACTCCTGGCCTTAAGGGTGGTTCCTGGCTGCTTTACTAATCCACATAATCATACTCCTTATGTAGTTCAATGACAGACACATAACCCGAGCATAAGCCAATCCACTCATGGCATCCATGGACACCAGTGACTATTTCAGGGTGGACCAATAAACTAAATTGGTCCAATCAGAGGGAAGCCTAAGACTTGGGCTTGATGTTCCCGGTAGCATACACTATGTGAGGTCAAGAACATTTATAGCACTTTTGCTAGGATGAGAGAAACCAGCCAGAGGATACATCCTTTTTTTCTTTTTTCATTTTTTCCTCCCTAAAGCCCCAATACGTGGTAGTATATCCTAGTTGTAAGTCATTCTAGTTCTTCTATGTGAATTGCTACCACAGCATGGCAACTGAGAGACAGGTGGTTTGGTTCTGCTGCCAAAGCGGTGAGCTCTGAACTTGAACCACTAGGACATCAGGGCTGGCTCCAGAGGATACATCGTAAGACAAAGCAAAGATGAACCAAGAAAGGGGCAGAAGTACGGAGCAGAATTCCTGATCAAATCATAGCTGAAGCCTGTACATCCTGGCCTTTCCGATAGGAAAGACAACATAATTTTTGTTTGGTTGTTTAGGACAGTTTGAGTTGAGTTTTATGCTGCTGGCAGCCAAGAGTATCTACCATATTACCATGACCTCCTTGGTGTTTTCAAAAATATGTAAATTAAGAAGTTGCTGCAGAACTACAGACTGACTTGAATGAGATTCCTGCCGGAGTCAATAGCGCCATCCTGTAAGAGACAGAGGTACATCTACGGTAGCATATTTGCATTTCTTCATACATACATATTTACGTTAAAATCATGTGTTATGTAATGGAGGAGAAAAAGATACCCCATTGTTTTTAATGGAATGTTTTCTGATTCCTACGGATTAATCTTTTCCTTGGGTGCTAAAGAATCTGCTCAGAGTTGTCATTACTTTTAAAGAAAAAAAACCTACCAAATTTTAAAATGTCTCTTTGTAGAATAAAATTTGAAGATTATTCACTACGATAGACTGCTTTGTTCCCCTTCACTATCCAGCAGAGTTGGGTCACTAAAAACAAAACAAAACAAAAGGTTCATTTCCTGTTTGTGAAAAAAGTGTGTGTGTGAGAGGTTAGATGTATATGTGGGAAAATTTGTGAGAGAAAAAAATAAAGAGAAAGAGAAGATAGAAAGGTAATTAGCCAAATATAAATAGTTTTTGGATTACCACTGCTTTACTTTATCCTTCTTTTGAGAAGGTAATTGGGAACTGATTGCGTTCTCAGAATTACTAGAGATGCAGCAGATGGCTTTAAAAATATTCTCAAATTAAAACATGAGTTTAGTGTGTGCTCTGGCAACAGAAATCATAAAATTTTACTTTATACACTCAATCTTGTTTTCGCTGATGTAATCTAATGTAAATAAGAATTTCATTCTGTTGAAAATCTACTTTTTGCAAAAGTTCTCTTCCTGAACATCATATTCTAATAAATACCTGCTAAATAAACAAGAGACATAACTGTATGCCTCATATAACTGTTCATAATTGTAGATATCTTGCTATAACCTATGTACCCTTTCTACACATTTATACTATGCAAATAAATATTCATACTAAGTAACAAAATTCAAAATATCATGAAGACAGATGTAAGTAAAATTGTAACTTTATCAAATATTAGACTAGAATTGAGCAAGCCTCTTTACCGGTTCAGATGCCGTTTATTGTAACAGTGAGAACAAGGAAATCATTCACTATTATTTAAAAAATGGCTGGAATGATATTTGCCATTGTCTAGGGTTGCCTTAAGAACTATTTAAATCAGACATTTAAGTACTTATGAAAATTGTCATATGTTTTTAAGATATCTATAAGCTACATTTTCAAGACAACATCATTTCTTCCGCCTCTTGAGTATTTCCATAACAAAGATCCACATGGGGGGCTGCAGGAAAACACACATTGGCCTGAGTACTCGGGGAAGGTTACTTCCACTGCCTTCCCTAGCACTGCTTGATTGACCTCGGCAAAATCATTGAAACCATCTGGCCTTTAGTCTCTCCATTTGTAAAAGGGAAACGAAGAAATATTTAGAGATGATAAAAGCTAAGATACTTCTCAACACTCTAATTCAAAAATGGAACCACACATTGGTTGGACTCAGAAAGTAAATGATAGAAATAAAATCCATCTACTTATAATGAATGATGAAGGGAATAATTTAACTATAGCTGAAATTTATTATCAAAATTATTTCTACCAAAAAAATTTGAATTTTTTTAGCAAAACAATAATTGATACATTATTTCATAAAATATCATACGTGTATATTTTCTTACTATTTTTAATGATAGTTAGATTTTTAGTAATTCTCTATACTGTTCTCAAAGGTTGATTTGAGAAGGTCTTCTATGTAAGTGGACCCTCCACTTCACTCTTCCTGTTCCAGTCCTATTGGCTATTTCTTGTTCTTCCAACTTGCCGAGAGGCCCTGCCTCAGGTTATTTGCACTTCTTATTTCTGCCTGAAACACTTCTCAAAATCACTGCTTGCCTAGATCATTCAGATCTCAGCTCACCTCTCATATTCTCACGAACGTGTCTCTGATTTGTCTAGCTATTATTATCTATTACAGTCCCTATTATTTTTTCTCAGGTTTATCTTTTTCATGGTGCTTATTAGAAGATGAAGTCATTTTGTTTGTGTATTTGCTTACTTGTTTTTTTCTTTACCTTGACAAGCATATATATTCTTTCTGTCTTCTTTCCTAGAGGGCCAAGGTCAGTCCCTGGCGATAAAACCTATCATCGCTGAAGGAATATAGAAGTACATTTGGGCATTTGTCACATATAAAAAGCCAAATGATTATTAAAATAATACAAAGTGAATTCATTCACAGTTAATAAGCTATGATTATGTAACATATTTAAATTATTTTCATAATTTGGCCTATGAACAAGTAGCTATGTCTAGTAAAATGCATTGTACATGTAGTTGAATCTTATACATGTGTTTTTCCTTCTTAAAGCTTATTTGAAATTTCAGGTGTTAACAAGACCAGAGTTGTTTTCTTCTTCAACCATGAATTGTATCAAAGTTCACAGGCTTTAGTTCTCTTTTGATTTCTATCCGGCATCAATATAGCTTATTTGCATGACTGATTATAAAATTTACTTATTCATTGAACGATGCTTAGCTGCTGTACTCTTCAAGCTCTGTGATAATAACTGCAGGGTGACTGACTGATAACGGCTTATCATCTCTCTACTGCAAAAGCATGTAAATTAGTAAAATAAATGTTTAGCTGCACATGCGTGTGTGTGTGTATGTTGGAGTTGGGTATATTATGCTTTTCATTTCAACGCAATGCTGCACACTCTTTATACAATCTGGGAGAAAAAAAAGTGTAGAAAAATTACAGCCAATCCTACCCATAAATCCTCATCTGATTAGTAGCCACTATATCCATTCCTTTAGCCAAGAATATGACGTAAAAGTTCGTAAATTCACATACTGTCTTTTTTTTATTGGTAAAGTCTCTTCATCACATCAGTCCAAATAGGAACGCAAGTATTTCCTGCATTTTCTTTGACACCTTATGAATAAATGATTATGTCAAAACGAATGCAACTGAATAATCTGTTTTTCATTCAGGGCAAAAAAATTCAACATAACCTGATACTACCTTTTAGATGTGGTATTGGAAATAAAGTCCAAAGACTAGATAGTCCATTTGCACAACTGATGGGAGAGGAATGATCTTTAGCTACTCATTTTATCCTACGAATTTGAAGCAACTAACATCTTATTAAAATTTCTATAGTGAATCTTCATAGTGATTTTCCAACAGGTTTTAGGGGTACTAAAACCATGATGGCTTGAGATGTCTAAAAACAGAAAGCAAGATATTGTCAACTGCACAAAATATTAAGCTGCATACTATTCCATGAGACGATTTACTTCGTTCTCAACAACGTCTAAAATGTTCGAAATAAACACAAAAACCATCACATAATAGAGTGAAATAGAGAAAAAGTAAATACGTAAAACAACAGACAGAGCATGATTCCATTATTATAACATCAATGCACAATAGTAGATAGATAGGCATATATGTATTATACATGGTATGTAGCTATATCTATATCTGCATCTGTATCTATATAAGTATATAGATATATATCATAGGCAGGAAAATTGAAGGAATAATTCAGACTAAACTATTAACAGCCTACCTTCACAAATGGCATTGGAGAGGGCAGAGATTTTGATTCTTAGTTTCCACACTTCAGTTTTACTTAAATTTATTACAACGAATTTGTATTGCTTTGCAGTTAAAAAAGAAGTTAAACTAAAAAAAGGGCTGTGATTTATATTTTGTATGTTTCCATTTTATTCCTTCCAAGTGTGCTTCGTCAAATGTGTATTTCTGAGCTTCTTGGAAACATTTGAAATAGAATTCTTTTAATGATTCCCAGGCTACATGTTGGTATTTTTCTGCAGCATGCACATGAAATGTCCACAGAGCCCAGCTTCCTCGCCTGTTTACAAACACTCAGAAGACCCTGGTGTGATCAGTGGCATCATTACATTGCTGCTTAATAGCACATGCTGTTGATACATTAATTGCTTTATTGACTATTTTAAAATTTTATGACCTCGTCTGCATTCCAATTTGACCTTGTTTTGCACTTTTCTACTGAATCGCCACATTCAACAACCTACATAATGTGTATTATATCAATAAATTTACAAAATGAAAAAAGAGTCAGATGATATGCACCTCATTATTTTTTTAATCAACTAAATCATTGGTAGGCAGATTTATATTGCAAAGAACTGCATAATTGCAAAACTGTGATGCTACAGCCTCATGATTAGAAAAGATGTTCCACATTTTTTAATGTAATTTTCTTTTAAATAATAATTACTAGATGAGTGAGCTGAGCAATATACTCATGGTTTGAAACAAGGGATGTGCCTATAAAACTTACAGTTTAGAGATTTTATTTAAAAACAACAAATGAATTAGGAACGTGCTTCATGATACCAAAAATATCTGTTCAAAAATATATTTTTAAATAGAATTGCTGTTTGTAAATGGGAGTAAAGTCCTATGCTTCCCAAGAAAATGAAAGCTGATTGGTAAATGAACATAAGTTAATTGAGGCCGTGGAAATTTGGTTATGGTGCAAGATGAAAACAAAATTCTGTATTTTCAAGGCAACCTTTTAACACGTGGTCTGATGTTAATACAATAAAATCTCACATAAAGCAGTTTTGCAAGTTTCTCCGTTCCCATTCCACCCTCAAAATACCAAGAAAAACTTTCTAAAAGAATCCTCACACAATTTCTCCCTCACTAGGCACCAAATGGCAAGTTTGTGCATTATGCATTCTAAAAAGAAGTAGGACAAGGTATTACATTCCATGACAGAAAGGATGACACAGACTTTTGAGATATTTATTGAATTTTCATTGCTGGAGAGTATTGTTCTATATAGTGCTCTAAGTGCTTAAAAAATGGTTTAGAAAGTAGAACACATACAATATTTCCCATATGGAATGTAAATGAAGGAAATGGACAAGAATTTAAATGGAAGAATGAGGAAAGAATTAGTGGGAATTTGAATTTCAGAGCTAGATGCAATAGGGGCAATTATCTATTCCTACTTCTGTTTACAGGTGAGAAAATGAATGCCCAGAATCGTTAGATGGCTTGTCCACAGCTTCCTACTGGTAGGTAGCACAATGGTGATCTAAACATAAGAGGTCTCATAACTACTTATCTAGAGATTGTAGAGAAGACTATGGGGAGCCATTCAGGGCAAATAAATGGTGTGCAAATTTGTTGACATATGAAAGGGTCTCTCATGTGCAGCAAACTTTGTTGGAGCACAATATATACACTAAGCAACAGTGAGATTACTAAGAGAACAGGTAAGTTTTAGAAAATGGATTTTTGAGGGGCAAAAATTAAAGATTTACACTTGCTTCCCAATCATGGTGAATAAGTATTGGTATAAATATTCTATATGTTACAGATTATGAACCGATTGTGATTCTAGTTGAAATAACATGGAGCAACGAGAATGTGGAATATTTAAAAACTCATATTCTAATTAGTTTATGGATCTCACTTGTTAAATTAGTTGGAAATGTCTTCCATATCTGATCCACCAATATCCCAAATGACCTTATGAGATAAGACAGAGGCACATTGCTATTAGGAACAGACAAGTTCCTTAATATAGAGATTGTAGCCATTAGATAGACTACAATTTAATTTCATCTTTCCAATAGTTTGCTTCCTATGATCTTACAAATACAATTATTTGAGAAACAGATGAAAATGTATTCCTCAACTAATTTTATCAAGAAATGAATGCCACTTTCTGATTGTAGAAATAGCACTTTATGAAATTACTCCATGCTCCTAAGTCTTTTTTTACTCAACCTCTTTACCAGAAAGACTTTCATCTCAGCTTCAGCTCTAAATCACTTTATTCATGAATAATGAACTAACAATCCTGTGTACTTGTGAATTATTTTAGATATCTAAATTATTGTTAAAATTTACATTCTCACTTCATGTGACAGACTGTCTAATTGACTATGCACTTGATGTAGCAGCCGCTTCCTCAGACTCTCACAGAATATTAAAGAAGAGGGTGATCCATTAGCACAATGGGGAAATAAAAAATTGAACAAGGAGGAATACTTCTTCAGACTGGCAGAATTTTCACCTGCCTTGTAGAACAATTCAAAATTACTACCCTTATAGATGCCTAGGTCATTTCCTTAGAAGAAACAAATAAAGCATTCTATTATATAGCACATCTCAAAGACCGATGAAAAATAAGTTTTCAAGCCATAGCAATATAATAAATGTATCAGAATTTTTTTTCAGCTAAAAAAGATATTAATTATTTTCAATGTAAGAAAAGGTGTTGTGTTGTTTTTTAATTTGTTTGTTTTCTTTTGTTTTTCTGTAATTGTTTGCAAAGTTTCCTAACTCCTTAATAAACTTTGATAGTAGTCCAGTCAATGGGACCATTAATTTAAAGGCTAAACTGGATGAGGCTGAAAATAATAATCATGAATATCCTTATATCTTGAGGGGTAAAATAGGATAAAGTTTTAAAATGCAGAATATTTTAAACAATGATAAGCAGTAAACCCCAAGTGCTAGCTATGCCTGGATTCGTGAAAACTCAAGTGACAGCACTTGACAGTCCATCATTTCCCTCTCCTTTCTCTTTTCCACAGAATGCAGCATTTGTGACACAGTTAAGCAAATGTGAGAACCAAATCAATATCAAAACCAAGTTCAGTAGCAAACAAAATTGATAGCAATTTCTCATTCATGTTTAAAGGGAATTCACATTTCTGAAGAGAGTAGTTGTCGCCACACTGGATTTCTGATAAAATACTAAGATTTATGCTTACTTACGTTCGATAGTTTCGTTACCCATTGGATAACTGACGTAATTTCCACTTTCCAACTCCTACTCATCCTAATTTTGATTAAAATTTTCCATTTCTCTTTACAACAGAGAAGTACATTTTCTAGTCAAGAATAAGTTCACTACAGAGAATATCCAGAAAAATTGGATCTGGCACTTATCTCACCTTTAAAAGTTTGGCTTTCTTTTTATTATTTAATGTTAATTTTCATTTCCATCTGAAAAGATTTTCAATATTAGTATTCTTTTTTAGTATGTCCCTGACTCCAGTTTGCCAGTTACAGACATCATTTGGACCAGAGTTCGTAATATATTTTCTTATTCTTTTTTCTGCGAGGCAGTGCTTTGATCTGTCTGTGGTCCATAACTTATCTGGATATACGACAGAATCACGATGGAGCTCCAAGACATCAGCAGGTATAAACTCAATTTTGCAAGACCAATCCATTTATATCTAGAAACCATTAATAGAGAAAAACAGATGAGGCACATTTTTTCCCATTGCAGTGGACAAGGAGCAGGCTAGTTGTCCTTGTGAAGTATTTGATCATGTATGTCCAGACCAAAAGTGTACGATTAATGCTGTCTTAACAAAATTAACTGTCTCCTGTATGTTACTGAAAGAATACTCTCTAGGAAGAAAAAATATATATATCTCAGAGAATCATGAGCGACTTCAGAAGAAAATTATTTTCTCTAGTTAGATACTTTTTTTGAAAAAGCATAATTTTGATCTACTCCTCTTTAATAAACTTAGCATCCTTTATTATTTCAGATTATCTCAAATTTAGTTTACTCACTGTAATTTCACTTGACTAACTGCTTTTCAATTCCATTAACA